CAGAGATGGCATGACGCCATACAAGCTGGTCACAGGAGGTGACTACAACCATCCTGTAGCCACGTTGGGAGAAATAGTGCTGGGCAAGGTGCCGAGCCCCAAAGGCAAGATCCAACGCCGATGGATCAAAGGAGTGTGGCTTGGAAAGCTGGACAGGGACGACAGCAATGTGCTCGGCACAGCGTCAGGTGCAATCGCTGTGCGGTCCATAAGGCGACTGCCCAAGGAGGGACAGATCAGCTCGGAGCTGATGGCAGCCATGAAAGGAACCCCTTGGCAGCCGAGAGATGGCGTGAGGCATAAGATCACTCGTGAGTTGTCTCAGCCAATCGCCTTTCCAGCACCAGCCGCATCGGGTAGCCCCGAGCGAGAAGAAGCAGCAGATCGGGAGCATCCGGCGCTGGCAGTGGACGGACACAACGTCGACCACGACGCCCTCGTGGTACAAGCCGTGGCACAGCTAGAGGAAGAGCTGGAACCGATGCAGGATGCGGAGGAATTTCTAGATCTAGCGGGTGGCCCCGCAGACGTCAGTCCCGTTCCAACAACGCCAGCGGAATCCGAGATTGCAGATCCTCCGCCGCCCGAGCACGGGCCGAGCGGGTCTCCACCGCCCTTTCGGGGAGCGGGATGGTCCTCAAACTTGCAAAGTCTTCCCAATGAACCCATGAGTCCATCTGGATTGGGGGCAGGAGGGAAACGAGAGAGGGCTAATCCGGGAGAACTGAAGACCGGCGAAGCTGATGCAAAGCAGCCCCGGCAAGCAGGGATCTTGCAGCACTTGACAACCAAAGAGATTTGGGACAAAATCCAGCAATGGGGAAACTCAGAAGAACCGAACAACCCAACAGCGATCCAGCGAATTTCAAATGTGACAGAATTCGTCGATCAGATGCTCGACCCTGAGGAGGTATCCAAAGCCCGAAAGGCACAACTGCGAAAGCTGTGGGAGCGAGGAGCGTTCACTCCCATCCACAGAAAAGACATACCCCAGGGATCGCAGCTTTTTGGTCACAAATGGGTAGACAAGTGTTCACGAGGGACTTACAAGTCGCGCTTCACATGCGCAGACGTCAAGGCGCGATACACCCAAGAGCAAGAGGCTGAGCTGGATGTTTTCGTGCCAACTCCAACTCCTGAGTCTCACAATGTCTTAGAGGTATATGCCCTCATGAACAAGTTCTACACGAGGAGCTTAGACATAGTTACAGCCTTCCTCATAGGAAGGGACCGGGGCGCAGCACAAGGTAAACCGGTCTATGTCCGAGCACCCATCGAATGGTGGGATCTCTTCCTCGAATGGCTCGAAGAAGTCAACCCGGCGGATCGGCAGTGGTACAAGGATCGGTTCAAGGAAATGTGTTTCCGGCTGGATGGAAATCTCTACGGTCGAAGAACGGCCGGATCTGTGTATAGAAACGAGCTAGAAGAGATAGTGTGCTCGCGGGTAGACCCGCAGCGGTATGCCTTTGTCAGGGGTCAGAAAGATCCGTGCATTTTCCGGTGCACCAAGACTGGCATTGTACTGCTGCACCATGTGGACGACATCCGCGCAGCAGGACCTTCAGAGGCCCTAGCGCATCTCTTCGAACAAGAACTACCGCGACACTGCGAAGTGCAAGCGGGAGAACTCGAAAAGGAGGGAACGGCAGTGGAATACCTGGGACGCACCAAAGTGCGCAGTGAAGATGCAATCCTCACCATCCCAGACGAAAAGCACAGGCAAGCCGTGATCTCCGCAGCGGGTATCTCCGCGCGTGACAGGAGTGAGGTTCCTTCCAAACAATTGAATCTTCTGGAAACCACTCCCCTGTCCGAAGAAGAAGCAAAACGCTATCGCAGCGCAGTAGGATCCGCGATCTACCTGAGCTTGGATCGCAGAGACATACAATATGCTGTAAAGGAAGCAGCGAGGCACATGTCGCAGCCAAGGCAGTGTGACATGAAAGCTGTGAAGACACTTGCAACATACCTGCAAACTCACCCCACGGTTGGCAGGGTGGTAACATGTGATCAGCCAAGTGCGACTGGCGAATGGAGCATAGAGTTGTATTCCGACTCAGACTGGGCCGGGTGCCTCGAGAGCCGGAGGAGCACCGACTGTCATGTGGCAATAGTCTGTGGAGCTGTGGTTGCTTGCACAACCCAGACGCAACCCGGACTGCCAGCTACTAGCAGCCCAGATGCGGAACTAAGAGGTGTATCCAGAGCAGCCAGAGAAGCAATCTACTTGCGCGATCTCATCACCTTGGACTTTGGCCAACTGTGCGGGAAGCCCCGCCTATGGACCGACAGCTCGTCGGCCATGCAGGCAGCGAAACGCATAGGTCCAGGAGCCAAGTTGAGGCACCTGGAAGTCTGTGAGTTCTACGTGCAGGGAGCGATCCAGTCAAAGCAGCTCGCTCTGGGAAAGGTCAAAGGAACGCTCAACTGTGCAAACTTTCTAACAAAACATCCCAAGTCAGGGACGGAGGTAAAGCAGGCCCTACCTGGACTGGGTATGTGCGAAGCTCATGACGGAGAGGATGTGCTATCATCCACAAAGCGCATCTCCGTCAAGGTCTCGACTGTGACCAAGCAGCATGCTTGGAAGACTCCGGTCCCAGCAAGCGTTGCTTGGATTGACAACAGAAAGGACCGAGCGGGCAGCACCGCCCCGAAAACAAAGGGCAGTGTGAACTACATCAAGTCGTTGGTGATTCTCAGCCAGATCACCGCAGTGCGAGCGCAGGGACAAGGAAATCAGTGGATCAATCCAATTGTCCTGTACATCCTCGCGCTCATAGGCTTGTTAGCCATCTATGTGAAGCTGTATCAGCTAGGAGTGCTGATTACAGACTGGCTTTTCCCGCCTGAAGGCGAAAATCAACTTCCCGAACAACCGGCTCAAGTTGAAGGAGCCGAAGTGCAACTTCAGCTGGATAGTGCTACGGTGCGCCTCAACATCACCGCCTACCGAGACGGTAGACAGCTGAACATCAGCCAGACGGTGAATGCGCCAGCGGCAGCCCCGCGGCTAGGTTCCGCGGAAGCCCCGCAGCCTCAACCGGCGGAAACCCCGCGGCAGGAGGAACTAACTCCTAGTCGCATCGAGCGCTGGTCAGAGGAACAGTGGGCACAAAGAGGGGCAGAAAGCAACATGACCCTCCAGGAGCTGATCGAATGGCGCAGGCGCGAAGAAAGGCTGATTCATGGGCAAGACCCAGACTCCAGCCAAGATGAACCAGGTGAGTCAACTTCGCACAGTGCGGACAGCCCCGCCTCTGAGCGGGATGTACCGCCTGAGCGGGAGGAACCGCCTGAGCGGGTAGCACCGCCCGAGCGGGCGGAGCCGCCGATCTCCAGTTCCGGCCCGGAGCTCTTGACGGGAGACTCAGCCATTGAGCGGGAAGCTCCGCTAGATCCCTTTGATGGGATGAGTCCAAATGAGCTCCAGCAGTGGCGCGAGGCCGAGAACAGAGTTCTGGGGATCGAAGGCGGCAGCTCCAGTGGCGGCAGCCCTTTCTCTGGCCACAGCTAGCCAGGAGAGGTATAGCTACGTCTCACCAAGAACCCGGCAGTGAGCCATGCCACTCTAAGGAGGGTGGCAAACTGCAAAGGGTAAAACCTAGGAATTAGGTAGCTACTGTAGTTAGCTAGGCAGTTCACTAGGTAGAGACGGCATGGCATGACAACAGCTCATGACCGCAGCCCCTTTTGCACAACCGTGCATTCAAGGAAGGAAATGTCCAACTAGCGGGGTAGGTAACTTGTGAGAGCCCAATACGCTGACCACTACCAGCTTTGCTTTTGCAAATATTCTCTTCTCTCACGTGACAACGGTTTTGTGTTCAGATCTGCAGGATTTTCTTTTGTGGATATCCTTTCAACCAGAAACCATTTCAGTCGCATCGCTTGTTGGCTCCATAGAAGCCTTGTTGAAAGATGCTTGGCTCTTCCAGGACCAAGCCGACTGAAAAAGCTTTGAGCACTCGTTGAATCAAGTTTGAGTCGCATCTGCACCTGTTGGTTGTTACTCAGACCTCCTTCATCACCAAGCAAAAACTGCAAAAATTGTTTCACCATGATTCCTTCAACAAGGAGTCCTGTCGCAGCAAGGATTTCAGCCTCCATCGATGACAATGAGATTGAGGCTTGAGCACGGCTATGACTGTGAATGCAACAGGAGTTGAGGAAAATGAGACCAGACGATGTCGAACGTCTTGTTGTTTTGCAGCTTGCCCAGTCACTATCGCTGTAAAGCTCAAGTTCATAGGGATGCCCATCTTTTGTTTCTTCCAAACCATTCCACCTGGTGAGCGTTGATGAAAACAACTCGGCACATGGGTAATGCATGCGCATGTCCTGGGTCTGCATGAGGTAGCTGCCCAACTTCTTCAAAGCGCACAACGAGGTCTTTGTCGGTCTACCCATGTAGCTCGCGAAAACACGAACTGTCTGTTGGATATCCAGCCTCTCCTGTGCAATGTAGAGGCAAATTCCCAACGCTGATCGGTAGATCTTGCTTTCTTTCTCATCCAGGTACTCTTCCATGGGAGTAAGCTCAGCATCGAAGACATTCAAAGCACTGTGGTGAGGAACTGTCTTTCCCCGCCTGCTTGTGATACCAAGCAACTCAGCAAGTTTCGGAATGTACTTGCTGTTGGGAGCAATGTAAACTCCATCTTCCCCAATTTCGATCTGCCGCTTGAGGTAAAACAATTTGCCTGGTTCTTGAACTCCATAAGGACCATCCTTCTTCAGCGTCAACTTCTCAGACAGTTTTGCGCAAACCTCTTCAGCATCAGCCTTGTTGGCCACCAACAACAAATCATCAATGTGAGCAGAAATGTAAATCTCCTTCTGGCGATGTTTGAAAACGGTTCCTTGCATGTGGGCAAAATCAAGCTCTCCAAGCAAAGTCGTAAGATGGAAGTTCCATCTCATTGCTGCATTCCTTTGCCCTGGCAGACATTTGCGTAGCTGCCAAAACATCAAATTTGCATTTCCACCTGCTGCTCTCACCCAATCAACACCTTCACCATCATCAGCGGTGTTGTTGGACTGAATGTTTCTTCTGTTGAGGCACATTGTCCACGAAATTCTCTGGCCACCATTCTCGCACGTCTTGTCCAGCAACCAGATCGATATCTCCAATCTCTGACAAGTTTTGTGTCCAAATGAAGTGTTTGTTCAACGTCAACTCCTTCTTGGACATCACCAATCACATCAAGCTTTCTCAAACGCTCCAACTCTGTGAACATCGCTTGCTTGTCCAACCATGCAAGTTCTTCGGCACAAACATTGGGAGGACCAGTTTCCTCATTGTGAAAGCCACGACGCTTCTTCTCCTCTGGGGAAATTTCAAACTGCGAAAATTCACCATCCAACAACTGATCGTTCACGTCCCAGTCCCATGTTTCAAGAGGAATGTTGATCTCAGGTTCATCTTCCTCGTACAACTCAATCTCCTCGGTCACCTGTCGCACATGACCACTGCCAGATGTTGGACTTGCTGAAATTTCACCTGCGAATGTGGGACTGTACATCTCGGCCTTTTGCTGTTTGGACTTCTGTTGCTCAGTTGCAGTATGGTCAAATTTCACAAATTTTGCTGAACTCGATGATTGCTTTTCTGTGCTCCTCTTTGTTGCTTCAGCTTCAGCCACACGCTGTCTCACACCAACTGGAAGCTTGAGTTCGGTTTCTCTGTCTCTTTTCTCAGTCGCTTGAATCAGTTCATCCATCTCTGCATCAGTGAAAGCCACGGCACCACCAGTTTCTCCTTGAAGTTCATGAGGAGGAACATCGGCAGGATTTGACAATGCCCCGCCTTTGTGGGAATCCATTTCCTCTTCTGCGTCTTCTTCCGGGTGTTCTTTGGCATATTGGAGTACTGCTTCACCTTCAGGATCATGTTCAGCTTGCACGCCATGTGATGAGGTATGAAGAACAGGAACAGGATGTACTGCCGGTCTGGAGGGTTGAAGTGATGTTTGTGTGCCACGCTTCATATCCCATGGTCCAACTTGTAAAGCAAGAAGTGCTGCTGCGCCCCAATGCTCTGCAGTTTTGCGCGCAGCCTTGCTTCTGATCACCAACGGCCACGATGTCATGGTCAGCCTCGTCTTTTGTCAGCCAACATCCTTTTCTCCATTGACATTGATACTTCTGCTGAAGACTGTCAAGTGCATAGGCCTCTTCACCCGCACAAACACGACCTTTGTATGGCCTTCCACGCACAGCCATGTATGCCGTGATGCCACTGCTCGATGTCAAATGATATCTGTTCAGCAACCATCCAGCATGCACCATTGCCCATCCTCTAAGTACGTGATCTTCTGCCAACTTCATCTGCATCTTGTCCTCGATGTAGGCAATGAGACATTTACTCTGAGCACGCACAGTCTGAATTGACCTCTCTGCTAGGCTTGTACGTGACTTGGAGTACATCTTGCCAGGTTGAAGTACCATTGGAAGACCTTGGTTTGAGCGTATCACCTGAGCCATTTTGACACCTGCTGCAAGCACTGGTTCATTGTCATATGAAATTTCGATCGTGTCAAAGTAGGACAAATTTGACAGAAACCGGGCTATGATTGCACCAATGACACCAGCATTTTTGTTGCGCAATGGCTCCACACCAATGTACTTCGTCCAAACATCAACCATAAGCAAAACACCCATGCTGTTTGGCATTGCAAAAAGATCAACCTGCACTATGGGAAATGATCTGCTGGAACTTTCATCTGCAGGAGTTCTGTGTTTGTAGTTGCCTCTGGATTTGGCTTGAACACAAAATGAACACCAAGCTCTAAACGGCAAATGAGTCACCTCGTGCATCTTGCGTTCCATTGCACTCGGTTGTTTTGGTGCATCTGCAAACCTGGGTTTGGGGTCCAGAGCTTCATACTCCTGTCTTGCAATTTCCAACGCACTCATCTTCAAAGCAGTGAGATGTGCTTCTTTGATTCTTTGGAAAATCTTCTGTTTGGAACCAGATGCTGAGACACGTAGATATCGAGCTGCCTGTCGCAATCTTTCCACTGAAGATCTTGCTGTCAGTTCCATCTCTCCCACAACAATCTTGTCAGCTGCTTGCTCTTCGACCAAAACAGGACCAAGCTGTTGAAATTCAGGGATGTCGCGACCTTGAATACCTTCATCTCCATCTTCCATGTCAGCTCCTTCAACTTCTTCACCTCCTGAAGCAGTAGGCAGTCCAGGCTCGCACATGACTTCCAATTGCTGTCCACCTTGATCGAGAAGACCACCAAAGTCGACCAAGTTCTGATTCACCTTGGAAACAATGGTGAGAATTGTCACCGATTCACCTCCAGCATATGTGTCAACTTCTGCAATGCGTCCAAATGGTTCATCCATTTCCAGAAACCTTCTACTCACCTCAACAACACACCAACCATGATCTTCATCTGAAGTGGATTTCCGTTGAATGAGTGTCGTTCTGTACTTGTAGTTTGCTGGCCAAACCAAAGTAGGATCAATGAAGTTCTCACCCCCACAGAACGCATGAAAGGATTACCTTCAACAGTTGTTTCCCATTGATTGTTACGCAGGGCCTGAATTTCTCTTCCAGCTCCACAACTGCTCGAACCATGGAAATTTCAACATCAGAAACATCTGCTGCTTCCACACGACAATCTTCTCCATGAATTGCTAGTGAATTGCGTTGATAAAACACTGGAACCTTCAACGTGTGATCTGGAGATTCCAACATTGGACCATTTGTTGATTGGGAAACAGACCATCCACCTCGGTAAAGTTGACCCAAACTGAGGATGAATGACTTCACACTCTCAGAAACCACAAATTGCGTTTCCAACTCAGCTTGACTGCCATCTTCGTCTTGCAGCACCAAACTAGCTGTCTTCACGCCTGCAACTTGTAACTGTTCACCTTGACAATCACGCAACTGCACCTTGGTCTTGTCCACGGCACCATCAACCTCAATGCCGCAGGAGACAGGTAAAAGAGAAACGTCTGATCCACTGTCGAGGATCACCACATTCTTTGGCTCTCCACTAAACCAACCATCTGAAACCATTCGAACATCAGAGCTTGAAGATGCAAAACTGGCAGGAATTCCATAAATTCTTCTAATTGATGAAGCTGTTGAACTTGTAGGAGGATAGCTACTGGCAGGAGGAGAACGCTGTTGTGTTCCACTTGGAGCAAACGGCTGTTGGGCTTGAACTTGAGGTTGTTGAGTGCTATTGGCATTGCTCACAACCTGATTTGTCATCCTGTTTGGACATTCTCGGCTCCAATGCCCATATTCTCCGCACAAATGGCACTGCTGAGAATCAACTTGTTTGCCTTTGCCACGTCCAGACTTCTTGCCACCATGTTTGGACTTTCCTTTGAACTTACCTTTTGCTTTGCCTTTGCCTTTGCCCTTGTTTCCTCTGCCTTTGCCGCGTCCACGTCCACGGCCTTGAAATGCGTAGCTACCAAAGCTCCACCAGCTTCTGCATTTGGATTTGCCTTTGCCTTTGTAGTTCTTGCCCTTCTCGTTGTAGACCCTGTCGACTTCCATGAGAACAGGACCATTGTTGTTGCTGCTAGAACTCTCTGGTATTGGATTCAAAGATTTCAGCACAGATTCTGTGGTCCAGCTCTTTGAGGCTTTGTCGAAGTTGAGAACTGCTTCTCGAAGTTGTCCATAGCTAGTGGTTTCACCAACTGTCAACTGCAAGTGTTCTCTCAACCTTGATTCTGAACATCTGATCAACGTTGCTGATTTGAGCTCTTCAGGGTATTGTTGACCTGAAAGTTCCTCGAACTGTTGCACCAGGGATTCATACGTCAGCACATTCTCAAGAGCGGTTTTGGTGGATGAAAAACTTGGATACGATGCCAACGCTTGAGCTATGGCCAAACTTCTTTGTCTGCTAGGTGGTTCATATTCTGCAATCACTGCACGCCACAACCTAAATCCATCTCTTGATTTTGCAAAACTTCTCACAAGTCCACTGCCACGCCCTCTCAAATAGGATGTGAGCACCGCATAGAGCTTTGTGGAAAGGTCCATCTCTTCTGGGCTGTAGGGTTTGAGATCTTCTGATGGTTTCAATTTCTCTACTTCCTCAAATGCCTTCTGAAATCGCTGATCTCCAAAAGGCAACCACGAGCAAAATCCAAACTTCCATTGTGGAAAACCATGAGGATCGTCACCTGAAAATGGGTCAGGATTCTTCAGCACCCTTGCAGCCATCGACAGTTCAGATTGTGTAGGATCGCCTGAACTGCTGCTAGATGTACTTCCAGCTGCCATCATGTTCAGCGCTTTCTCTGCTGCTGCCGCTGCTGATGTTGCCGCTTCAGCCAGAGTTGCCATGCGTTGTAGGAATTGCGCTTCACCACCTTCCATGGCCTGACTGTGATAGGCCACTGACGCAAACACCAATGCCTTCAACTGCAACTTCATTTGTCCGCGTTGAACTCCACAACGTCGCTTCCCCAATCTACTTGTTGGGTTTCTCGTCACCAGCAGGCCCAAGTGGCTCATCATGTAGCAAATTGCCATCGTTGCTAACCAGCTGCTCCATACCATCTCGACAGACATGAGTTCGAAGGTTTGCCTCATGCCAATCATCACCATTGCCACCACTGCAGCGCAAAACTCCATGAACTTGGTGGAGTCAAAGTTCATAATGGTGTCATACATATTGATGTAGGTCTCCTTGACGTAGTTCACCATGTAGCCCATCACCTCGAACTGCATGTTCATGAATGCCATGCCAAACTCAATGTAGGGCTCGAAGGTCACATTGTCCAAGCTGTAGTTGTTCAGGGCTGCCAACTCACAGCATTGATTGCATTCGACACCAACTGCCTGCTCCACGTTCATCTCCATTGCAAAAGCACCGCAATCTGAAGTACAAATCACTCCAGGAAAAACTTCCATGCTGGATACGGGTTGCTCCAGCATTGCCACATTTCTCACATGCCAGTTCCTTGCACTTGCCTGGCATCTTTTCCTCAGAGGCGTTCACGCTGTTGCGTCTCCCAAGGACTTGAAGCTTGAGCTCTTCCAACATCTCAGCCGTAAAGACTTGAACTCCACGTACATGTGAACCATGCCAGTCGCCACCACATGCCTTGAAGACTTGAACTCCAAGTTCATGGCAAACTGTTCCATGCCTGGCGTTGCCACAAGCCAGTTCCGTAGGTTCACCTTCATGTTCTTCCTGGTGGGTACAATCAGCCCACATCGAATTCATGCCTCTGAAGCCCATAGTCTTGTTGTTTTCCATCTTGGCACATCTGCTGAGGCTAGCAGGGCCATTCATCCAATGGTGCTTCGCCACATAGTCAACCTCGCCAGCTGTCATCACCACCATTGCTATCAGGGTGAGCATGCCGACGGGAAAACTTGTTACACTTTCTCGATTTGTGCTGCATGGTAGCTTCATCGCCCTGGGGAGGGCTCCGCTACCATCTGAAAGCAGCCAGCTCTCCTTTTCAAGCTGTTCTGAGCCACTGTGCATGGCGGTAATGGGACATGGATTCAACTGCACATGTATGTACTGCAGACGGCATGTTGGTGCTACTATGTTTTCACAAAATCAAACCGATTGTCAAATTACGCATATGTTCCAGGCCACCTGGGGGACATCCCAAGTTTATTTTCCAGATCCGCACCGGAATCAGTAGGCAGAGGGCTGGACACTTTATGTACATATCCCCTTAATTTCACAATTTTGCCTCGTTAGTTCGGGGTGACGTCGTGACGTCGAATTAAATCGTACAGATATAGTGGTACCCCCATAAAGGAGGGGGAGGGTGGCGAAAAAATGTAAGTTACATTTTGCCCCCTCCCCATTTCCATAATCACTACGTGTGTGGCGTATTCCTGGGGAATACCTTGATTTTGCTTTGACCAAGCCCATACCTAGGGGGGTCTTAACTTACATTTTTCACCCTTCCAAACGTGGATCTTTGGTACCTTACAAATTTTAATTTACAATTAACCCTCCTCAAAACAACCCGGAAAATGTAAGTTACATATTGTCAGGTCCCCCCCGAAAACCTAGGTTAAGGGGGTGGGGATATGATAAGAAATTTTCAAGGTTTCGGGGTTTCGTGTAATTTTTTGGATACATTCTCCGGCAAGTCCTGTTCAAGAGATGCATGAGTTTGTTTGGTTCTGAAACGCGCGCCTAAGCAGCACATCAAAACAAAACAATTCGTTTTGCACCGGCAATGGTTTTTCGCCAAACAATTTTTTCGTGTAACAGTTGGAAAATGAAATGCAAAGGTGTGTTTCACCTTCGCCATTTTTATGACACACATTATCATTCAAACAAATTATTGCATGAAAATGTGGATCGTCAGGATGGGTGCTGTGCATATACAGCATTCTATCATTCACATAAAAACATATTGTATACGGAAATTTGAATAACAGACCAGCCAACTCTCTGACTCCGTATGGTGTTCCACAAACGCTCGGAATAAGTTTTGCGACACAATTGTTTTTCCGTCCTTATATACAATATGCTAAAAATAAACAGCACGGCACGAAGTTCCAAGTCTACATAGGGTTGTTGCGCCGAGAAAGCGACACAAGGTTGGGAGACAATGCCGCAGCAGCAACCAACAGCAGCAGGTAGACAAAAAGAGACGAAACGAACACGGCTTGCGAGACACGGCGGCACTAGCACTCAAGGGAAGGCTCTTCCACAGGGTGGGTTGCAACAGATGAGCAGTGAGCGTGTGGGGAACCAAACCCCGAAACGGCTGCAGAGCGAAGGAATGCTTGGACCAATTCCAGCCAGGGATTGTGGCAGGAGACATTGTCAACACCACAACGCTTGAACATCACTGTTTTGCGCGAAGGTGAAACGCACAAACGACTGGGTTCCAAAGTTGCGGCGCAAAAATCCGGGTGCGAGTTTGTTGATTTCAGACATCACGTGTAACAAGTGTATGTATGAACATATTGTTGCCCAAGAGCTACTTTTGACGGACAAAATGCATCGTGTCCTTCTAAAACGCATTGACTTAGACAGGGTCGGCTCTTTTGTTGCGTCTTTCGCTTCGACCCCGGACACTATACAAGACACATTCATGTAATAAAGTCAAGTATCCGCCAACCAAAAAATCAACTCTCTGGGGCCATTGTCGGACCTCCTTCCGGAATGGATTGGTCAGAGCACGAGTCGTCACGATTTTTATCGCAGGAATGTACACGTAGCGATTTTTTCTTCTCTTGCAAGGCTACAGCAATGGTGATAAGCCCTTTTCACACCATCACGGATGCTAGCATGCCACATTGCTCGAGTACCTGCTGGGTTTGCGGAATGCTGACATGGAGACTTCCGAAGGTCGCGCGCAGGCAAATTTGGATCACATGTGCAGGAAAACCATCGAAAACCAACTTTGACCTTCGGACCATCTCGTCTGGATCCCATGCACACGGTGCTGTTTCAAAAATTTGAATCGCATATGCGCACAGCGTCGCACGGAGATCTTGTCTGACACTCTCCGGATCACGTGCGCACAAACAGGTTGAACCCACTATGCACGGATAGCATTGGGGCCGTGTGTGGTGGGATGTTGACTTTCGCTGGCACTTACGAACCACGGATGGCGCGCAAAACAAAACATTGGGGTGGGGCTGGGGATTGGGGTGACGCTCTCGAATCATCTCAGCTCTTCTCCACTCTTGGTTGGTTTCCTACATTGTTCAGTTGACCTCAGTTTTCTCTCGGGTCACTCTTCTCATTTCCATTCGCATGACATCAACTGCCCCCGTATCAACAACTACTTGTTCCTTCGTTGCTGCTCCACATGGTTTCAATTTTGAGTTACCTTTGCATCTCACAAACATGCCTCTGGGCCATTTTTTCGTTATATATTTTTTTGTAATCCATTTCAATCAGACCCGATCTTTCAGACCTGATCTTTGTTCACCACCGGTGAGTTCCAGTCAGACATCAGGAATCCAGGTCCTTGCTCACCATAATGGTCAAAAGCAAGGCATGCCTTCCCCTCCCGGCGTGTACATGCGATGACCCCACCACCTGCGGGACAACGTGTAATAAAACGGCCGTGGTGAACATAGGATCAACATAATGTTTATACATTTTTGCCACTTCAACATGATCCCGGACTGGCTCGAAAGCTGCAAGGATTGGGAAACTTGTGGCAAAATTTCGTGGTTTTGCACTTCGTTTTCACCTGCCTATGCCATACATTGGCCACACAGCGTCCATGCATAAAATGAAGAAAACAAAGGCTAAGTTTGCGAAGTGCACGAAGGTGTCTGTGACCTGGAACACCAATTCACCAACATTCATCTTATTCGAACGTTTCATTGCCTGCTCTACGGCGGCCGCGGGGGTCGGCTAAAGCGATTCAATTTTTTTGTGCGTTTTGTTCATATCTCAGGTGGTAACTTCGCAACGTACATAGCCAAAATTCCATTTTGTTTGAAAAATGTTTTTTGGTTGGAACCAGTGGCTATACGGCTCAAATATGGTTTGCCAACATAAGGATTATACGGAAAAAAACGTGCAATGGCATCAATGAGGGTTGATAGGCCATCGCAACAACAATGAATGCAGTTGTCGTTACAAAACACCGGTTGAAAATGAAGCGGTTCCAATGCAAATGCCAATTACAGCGTTGGCGCAAACTGTTGGGAATAATCAAAATGTTGGGAACAAATTGCGCAGGAAATAGTTCTGTTTGGAAACACAAACCACCAATTTGAGTTCACATGCCATTTTTGTTTGGGTGCCGAGGAAAACCACCTGAAGAACCATGATATGAAGTTGCGAAAAGGGAACGTTTCATGGCAGGGTTGATTTCAATCTGCGAAGAATCGGGCAGCACTCAGAACATTTGTTTTGAACCGCTAAAAGGGCCTCAAGTACATTAAAATTTTGTCATGGAATGACATGTGAAAACTTGTTACACTTCTCGATTCTGTGACTGTCGTTCTCTCGATTTGTGCGTGTCATCCATGGAATGAGTGCATCTGTAACATTTTCGCACTCCTCCTCTGGCATCTGTAGCTGCAGCTCTGATTCCAGCTGTACGCACGAAATTCGCTTAGGGATTGAAAGAAAAACTTTCCACAAATCAAGCTTCGGGTTTCAGGATTGCCCGGAATCCTTTCTCAACTGCAAACCGTCTCCCAGCCAATTCACTGAGAAACCATCCATAATTGTTTCTGCACGCATCTCACCCCAAAAGGAGTCTGAAATCATCCACATAGCTTTTGTAAACTCTAGCTGTTGTTTCATCTCCACGATTTCTTGCCTTTCGGTAAAGGCGTTGAAAACCATTCTGAACATTGGTTGCAAGTTCAGCTGTCAGTCCACTTCGCTGCTCTGTCGCTTCCAAAACAGCTAAGACCAAAGTCTGAACTTCTGCTGCATCCTCAAAACGGTTTTCCCCCAAACTTCTATTGATGAGGCATCGCAAATTGCGAAGAAGTTTGGTTAGATCTCCTTCTTCTCTTTCTGGTTCCACCTCAACTTCAACTGTTTCCATTTCTTCATCCTCAGTCTGTCGCTCTTCTTCTCCTTGTTCATTGGGCTCCATTGCTTATTTCCAACTCCACAAATGCAAAACACACAGCACAAAGGTTGAGACTACACGTATCGCAAGTGCGCATACGCGAGCGCGTCGTATATGTTTTAAACAGAAACATATCTACGCATATGTATGTGCACGCGTGTGGGATGAACTCCGCGTCACATTTGTTGTGATGATGGGACGACGAAAGATCGGATTGTCTTTTCGCCGGAAAACTTTAGAAAAATTCAAGTTGAAAAATAAAACAAATTGCACAAACTGACATTCGGAAATTCAAAGAGGATGCGCAATCTTTTTCATCCAGCAGATGGGGCATAGTCATCGCATCTCCGGCATCTTAGGCTCGGGGATAGGCTTACAAAAGACAGGGTGGGAGACACCTTGTGTTGGGTGGGACAAGTCTTTTGTCAAAATTTTGGGACGACCCGCCCTCCCTACCCTTGAGTGAAAAACGCAACACGTTGTAAGTTGAACAAGTGTTGCTATTTCCATGTGCTCATGTGTTTGAGTTTTTGTTTGGTTGTTGTTTCTTGGTTTGTCCAAAAAAACAAAAAGCAAACAAAAACGTAAGTTGCGTGAGGAAATAAAATCGAGTTTCCTTTCAGGAAACTCTCAACTTATTTCCAACTCCACAAATGCAAAACACACAGCACAAAGGTTGAGACTACACGTATCGCAAGTGCGCATACGCGAGCGCGTCGTATATGTTTTAAACAGAAACATATCTACGCATATGTATGTGCATGCGTGTGGGATGAACTCCGCGTCACATTTGTTGTGATGATGGGACGACGAAAGATCGGATTGTCTTTTCGCCGGAAAACTTTAGAAAAATTCAAGTTGAAAAATAAAACAAATTGCACAAACTGACATTCGGAAATTCAAAGAGGATGCGCAATCTTTTTCATCCAGCAGATGGGGCATAGTCATCGCATCTCCG